AAAGTTTGAATTAAAAAAAAAAAAATATGCTCATTATTTACAAGTAGAAAAAATTCAAAAATTAAAAAAAAAGTTTAAATCTTTTAAGCTAACATTTTAATAAAATTATTCAGCAATAGCAACGTTGTTGATAAAATTGAACAAAAATACTTTCTTTTAGTTTTAGATTTTAAACTTAAATAATTATTTTACGGGGGTTTGATAGGTTTTAAAATTATTCCATAGATTTAAAAATATTTATTAACTGTTAGACGTATTTAAAGTATTTAAGAGTAATTTCGAGGAAACATTTTAAAAATTGGTGAGGGCAAATAAAAAAAAAAAAAAAAAAAGACTAATATTAAAACGTATTCTACTTGATTCAATAAAAAAGTACAGTTATTAAAGTTTTTGTAAAAAGTAACTCAAAAAAATTACTTAAATAATAACGATCGCTTTTATGTTAAAAGTTACCGAAACTCAACGAAGCGTGCTCAAGAACAATAGAACGTCAATAGTTTTTCGAATAATTTTTAAGAATAATTTTTAAGAATAATTTTTTTGCTGAAAATATTTCTTTTATACCTATAAGATTTTTATTCTAACATTTTATTTTATTTTACTAGAAATAAAGTTCCTTGTTAACATTAAAAATCTATTATAACGTTCGTTTAAGTTTTTTATTAATACGAGTGATTGTGCTTATCAACCGCTTTATGAAAACTCATCTTGATTTAATCTAGGTTTATGAGGAAGCAGCTTAAAAAGCAAGTAATTAAATTTTTTAGTTATAACATGTTTTTCAAATTTAATATTTTGGTTGATTAAGTCTAAATTTTTTACTTCAACACCTGGGCAAAGAATAAGAGTTTTAATATGACTTATAAATTTGGATAAAGAAACATTAAAAAAAGATCCTTTATATTGAAGGTATTAAAGATGATCTATTGGTAACATCCAACCAAAAATTCTTATACAATAGTCTAGCAACTCGTGAACATACATTTCGAATTTAGGTAAAATATGTTCTGGAGAATTACAAGTAATAATTGCAAATCTCTCATCAAATGATATTTTCCAACATTCACCTAAAGAGTTTTAAAATACGTTTAGTAAAATCATCAAAAGATCTGTAACATGACGGTGTAGTTTGAGAAATCAACTCTTGAGTTTCTAAAAACTCCTCACGTTTTGTAATAGATAGCAAACTTCGCTGCGATGGATTACTTTTCTAGGGAAGATTTAGGGTCGGCAATGCTTCATCCTTTAAAATCTTTCGAGATGAGTAAACCCAAAATTGATCTACAGTAAAGTGAAGCTCACAAATATAAAGATTAAAAGAATCAATTCGTTTTTTCAAAAAATCATCGATGAGTCTGTCTCTAGTAACTACGTTAATAAGGTCATTACTCCATTTCTTATTTGCATCATTAGTTGGAGTAGGAACTTTGAAAATGCTGATACCTTTGTGTCTTCTTGAAGTTGAACAACCAAATATTGCACAATTTTCACCAGGCATATCAAGAAAATTAATTTCAATCAAAACACAAATACAACTTAGTAAAATAACAGGCAAACGCTAACAACAACAATCTTTTTGTGCAGGTTTGGAAGTCCAGAAACGAGAAAAAACAGTATAAAAGAGCTAAAACAAAACGCTATTGTTCGCTTCCAAACTACTCTTTCTTATAACTATGGTGAATTCAAACCTAGTTTGCCAACAAATGGGTGAGCTCTTACGAATATTAATGCCCAGGCTAACCATGTGCCTATTGGAGACTTTACAAATTAAAGGAAGATAACCATCAACACTGAGACCACAAGATAAAACAGCTGAACTCAAATTAGTCTGGTGAACTTTGCAAGAGATAAGGCTCAATACAAGAAAAGTTACTTCCAAGACCACGAGCTTTAGAGAACTTGGTGATGATGATGGTAAACTATGTAGTGTTAAAACATATAAAACAAATATCAAGGTTTACAATTTTACTTTCACTTAGAAACTGATTGCAGCAACATCTCCTTAATTTTGATTTATAGAATTTATTTATCAATCTATAAAATATTCTGTTTATTAAACCCCATTTAAACTTTTGACAATCGTCTACATTTGTGGTTAGTTCAGAGTTTATGAAGCAAAGCTCTGTTGTTTAAATCCTACAACTGGCCCCCTTTTTTTTTAATCTTTTTTGATTTTTTAAAGTTACAAAACACTTTTGAAGTTTTATAGATATTAGATAATTAACTTATATAGAAATATTATATGCTATAACAATTAAAAGGTAGAATTTTTAAAAAAGCTTAAAATTTCTAAAAGCATCAAAACACCTGAAGTAATTTGTTGCAAATACATTTAAAAAATTTCAGAATTTATTACACTAAGCTGAGGCTTATTAAGCTTGAGGTCCCCGAAACAATACTAATGACAGCGTACTAAACCACTGAGCTATCAATGATATGCGTCAAAACACCTGGAGTAATTTGTTGCAAATACATTTAAAAAATTTCAGAATTTATTACACTAAGCTGAGGCTTATTAAGCTTGAGGTCCCCGAAACAATACTAATGACAGCGTACTAAACCACTGAGCTATCAATGATATGCGTCTAGGAGGAAAACTTACATTCTAATTTTTATGCTTTTAAAGTAATTTTTTAGAATGAATTATTTTGCTAAAAATATTAAAGTAAATTAGGAATAGGTATAGAAATGATCGGTGTAGAATAGATAAGTACAGAAATGGTTAGTTGGATTACAAACACATAAATTAACAGATAAATTTACAGTTTTGGAAGGATATTTATAAGGAAAAAGTATAGAAAAGGTCAGTTTGGTATAGACTTACAAAGACCTGCATTTTTATGGTTCCGGTCAGCTAGTTTGTCTGTCTAATGTTGGATATGCAGGAAGAAAATACTGATTTTAAACTTAAATATTGTACAATAACCTCCAATATTTTGAGATCATCTTATTAGAAGAATGACAAACTTAATTCTTAGAGTGGTGTCAGTTTAATATACATAATCAGAATTGCTACTACTTTTGGAAGATAACACACCCGCATGTGATTCCCCACAAATATATGGCCACGCATATAATATTTAGCTTAAACAAAGCATTTATTGAAAAATTCAAAATTTCAAAAATGCACTGAAAAAACTTAAGTAGACTTAGTATAAAAAACGTTTTAAAAATTTGTATTTTATAAAAGAAAATTTATCTTAATGAAAGAGAAAATAAAAAGAACTTAACTAAAACTGAAGCAAAAAAAAATATATATATATATATATATACAGTCGTGTGCAGTAAAATAGTAGTGCGCATTTTATTTTTCTATCAACAAACTTTGAACATCAAAATATATTTTTTTATTGTTTGTTTTTTATTGTTATTGTTCATAAATTAAATGTTGTGATTATAATAGTATAAAAAAAATTTAAGAAAGATAATTGCAACAGTGTATCGTTTTAAATTTTAATATTATCGATTGAAGGTTATTCGTATTTTTTTTTTTAGGCTGTGCATTAAAATAGTAGTGAAAATCATTTTTTATGAAAAGGTCAAAAAATAATAAAATTTTATTACAAAAAAAATTTTTTTTTGAATTTTAGTAAGTGCATAAATTTATCTAATATTAAAATTATTTACTAACTTATTGCTTATTATTAAGAACTAATAATAATTAGAGTTTAATAAGTACAGCAAATATTACACAAAAATTAATTTTTCACTACTATTTTATTGCACAGTCTAAAAAAAAAATACGAATGTCCTTCAATCGATAATATTGAAATATAAAACCATACAGTGCTGCAATTATCTTTCTTAAATTTTTTTTATACTATTATAATAACAACATTTAGTTTATGAACAATAACGATAAAAAACAAACAATAGAAAAATATATTTTGATGTTTTTATATTTTGAAAATATATTTTGAAAATATAAAATATATTTTATATTTTGAAAATATATTTTGAAAATATAAAATATATTTTGAAAGCAAAAAAAATATATATATATAACTAAACTAAAAATAACTTGAAAAACTAAAAAACTAAGATTGTTTAAATTTTTTAAATACATTTAAAATAAACTTTTTTGAATCTTTTGTCATTACAAATGTTTTTGTAATGTTATAAGAAATCATTTTAAAAAACAATTTACTTTGAATGATTGTTTAATAAATATTTACATGTTTAATTAATACACACACTTAATTTAAAAAATATAGTGTTTTTTTTTTTTACTTACTTAAAAATAGTATTTCTCTATATAAATAAAGGCTGCAAAATAACACACTATAAGTAAATAAAATAAATATAACTATAATTACTTTTTATCATGTTTTATATAACATATTTTTTAGGCATTCATTTACTTGTAGAAAGGTATTTGTTATGAAGAAAAATTATTTAAATCTTTATAATGAAGTAAACAAAAATTCTTCAAAATTCTTTGTCGTAACATAAACAAATAAAAAAATAATTAAATCTTTTCCATATTTTTTTTTTTTTTTAATATTATTTATTATAAAAAATGCCTAATTACATGATTTATGTAATATAAATTTAAAAAATCATATACTATTTTTATTGATGCTTTAAACAAAGATCATTATCAATTTTTTTTACATTGTTTATCAATTTGTTACTATTATAAAAACATTATTAAACAGGGTAATGAGGAGGGGCACAATCGTTAATTTTTAAAAGTCCTTTATATATAGAAATTCTTCAAACAATTAAAAAAAAAATGTTCTTTAAAAAAAAAATCAGTGCCCCCTTATCCCCTCCCCTTCCCTCCTTATTGTCGACTCTGTTAAAGATAAAATTTTCTTTTTCTCTGAACTTAAATTTTAAAATTAAATATTAAATAAAATTTATTTCCATCAAAGCTTTAAGCTAAATATTTACAGAATATAAATATACAGAGATTTCTAGCATAAAATATAAAATATATAGTTTAGAAAAAAAAATAAAAAAAAGAACTTGTTGTATTCGCTGATATTGCATATTACCTGCATCAATTTCAGTGGAACCAAAGTCCTAAAAAAAAGTTTTGCATAATACCTACAAAAAAAATATATTTTTTTATTTCATTTATCAAGTTCGTTTTCATAAACAAAAATAAAATATTTACTATTCAATATTCAAAAAACTAATATTTTTAAGTGTTAAACATAATCTAACCACATCTAATTTATATATATATATATATATACGTATATATATATATATACGTATATATATATATATATATATATATATATATATATATACACGTATATATATATATACGTATATATATATATACGTATATATATATATACGTATATATATATATATATACATATATATATATATATGTATATATATATATATATATATATATATATATATATATATATATATATATATATATATATATATATATATATTTATATATACATATTAGGTCTTATCATATATTTTATACATATACATATATATATCATTGCTATTGAAATGTAAGATCTAACAAGTTGTCAGATCTAAAGTCGCTGTAGTAAGCTTGAACAGGAATGGCATGCCATCAAATGCTATTGCTGACTAAGCAAATAATTTTATTTTTTGACAACTTGACCATGACTGTTTATATGTTTAGATGATTTTTTAACATTTTAGAAATGCCTTGAAAAAAGAAACGCATGCTATACATTATATAAGAAAAAAATTTTAAAAAAATACTAAAAATGAAAAAAGAAAACAATTCCTTTCGAAAAAGACAGTATATATGCACTTAAATAAAAACCTAAAAACTCAAACTTGAAGCGAAACTGCTATTTATTACATTTTTAATTCAGCTTAAAAGAAATTACTTATCTTTTGAAACCTTTTATTATAGTTATGCCAAATGTTTTTACAAATTTCTTTTACTGATTGTTTAATGAATAAACAAATTTTATTTAAATTATTTAAAAGTGTTATATATAATATATGATTTTTTAATGGTATAAACATTTATTTCTTTCAAAAAATTGAAAAAAAAATTAATTATACTTTAGTCTATTTAAATTAGAAATTTTTAATCATTTAATGCTCTGACTAGTTAGCCAAGTTAAAAAAAAATTTAAAACAATTCTATGTTAAGACAGAAACAAAAAAACAAAGCAATTAAATCATTTCATTGTAATGAAAGATATAGTATAACTTATTCATAACTTATTCATAAAGTAACTTGAAAAATTATCTTGAAAATTACATGCCTACATAAAAGAAATTTAAATATAACATTATTTGTTAATTTACGCAAAATGTGCTTATTTTAAACATTCACTGTAAATTACTTTTTATTTTATCTAAAGTGTCCGCATAAAATAAAAACTTTAGAAAAGATCAACAATTAAAAGTTATTCATAATAAAACAATTTTTTTATAGCATTTATATTGTTAAAACATCAAAACCGCCATAGTCAAATTGTAAAAAAAAAAAAATATAAGCGTGGTCACTTACAGCGTGAGATCGCATTCTTGTCCAAGCCTGCTATAGAGATGTAAAGTCACTCTGTTGCATTTGCAACGTTATATATATATTTATATATATATATATATATATATATATATATATTATATATATATATATATATATATATATATATATATATATATATATATATATATATATAAATATATATATAACGTTGCAATATATATATATATGTATATATATATATATATATATATATATATATATATATATATATATATATATATATGTTAATGGTAACATTACCCCCAGTACAACCGGCTTCATGTCCTGCTGCTTTGTAGGATATGCTTTTTTAGGCAAAGGCTACTAGAAGCCAACTCTGACATTAAACAATCCCTATCTTGGTTGAGTAAAAACTAGAGATAGTGTCTCGATAAAAATACTCATCTTGGGTAGACATAAAATGCATCTGACTACTGTCTTGTAGAAAGCCTTCTAAGCAAAGACGTAAGAGGTAAACAGGTTCTATCTGTTGACTAGCCACGCACTCCTTCTTTATCTATTAAGATAGCACAGATGTATTTAGAATACATTGTTTCCAGTTTAGAATGTCGCATGCTGGATCTTCTCGACTCAGTAAGTTTTGGTGTGTCTCTGTTTTTTGACTAGACAACTTGTTCTATTATCTCCTAATGAGTGTACAGGTCTAAAAATTAGCTAGTAGTTAGGTTTCCCAAACCTGATTACCAGCTGGAGGCCAGCGGTAGTCAGGTTTCCCAAACTCTGTGGTAGCTCTCAGAGAAGGTGATTCCATCAATAGCTGTAAAATATCATAGTACTCAAAGTGCTATGTTGCGCATGGATGGTGTCCCAGTTCGTACTTTTGGTCAGGCTTGTGGAGCCGACTGTTTTTTTTACGGCTCCGCTCCGGCTCTTAAGAAATATCTGGCTCCGGCTCCGGCTCCCGAACTTTTTTAACAAATATCGGAAGTTTTGGAATATTTTTTCGATCATATTTTCTAACCCAAAACTTACCAATTACAGCAATAATTTTTTACCAACTCTCATGATTATGTTATTGTATTACTATCCCTACTCTACTACCGAATATTATAATTGAAAAGAAAAATGTTTTGGGTAAATAAACGCTTTTTTCTATATATTATTTACCCGTGCCCACTAGGTATCTAGTGGGCACAGGACCTAAAAAAGATGTTTTTTGAACGTTCAAAACGCTTCAAAAACATTTAAAAGACCTCTTTTGTAAGTCCCGTATCCACTGGGTAAAATATGCGATCGTTAAATTCAAAACAATAAAAAAATTAAATTAAAAAAAATAGTTCAACTAATGCAAAAACTTCAATATTTATTTTAATCTCAGAAACTTGAAGATTATAAAAGTGCTTTTTATTTTAATATTTTTCATTATTTCAAAGAAATAGGCAAACATTTACGGTAATCGACGACATCAACTTTTACACAGTGTCTTTGACAATTTTTTTCCTACTAATGTCCACTCTCTAATCAAATTTTTAGCTGTATTTATTGTTTTGCCAGCCTTACGCAAATATCCTTTGCCAAATCCCCCAAATTTTTCAATGGGTTGGAACTGTGTGAAGATTGATTGATTCAGCTTTTTGGTATGAATTTGATGTCTCTCAAACTGTACCACTCTTCTTAGAATAATGACAAGAAACAAGATTAGGCCAGAATCAACAGGGGACCTCGTGACTTCAATAAAGTTCCAAAAGCCTAGCTTGCAATTCTTCTTCGATGTAAATATCCAAGTTTAAAGTTGACAATGTGACAAAAGCTCGTGATCTCAAACCACAGCTGCATATTGCTTGCCAATATTTAATCTTTAAAAAACTCTGAAACTTCACACCTTTTGAGTCATTCTCTGTTCGTTAAGCCGGGACTTTGCGTGAATGATCGTCAAATACTAATTGCTGCTTTCTTTTCCTTAAAACCACTCTTTCTTCCAAATTTATTTGCTTGTTCGATAGATAGAGAGCTCTTGTATTGTTTTGTGACCATATAAACAGTAGTTTTGCTAGATTAAGATTCTTTAGCGATTGAAAGTAACAATGCAGTAGGATTTTGTAGATAGTTCTGCAGAATTTTTTTTCATTTTTCTAAATGTTTCAATGACATTTTAATTAAGAGAAACATTTTGACTTGTTTGTAGTTAATACTGTGGTTACTTAATGTAATTATGCGAAGAAAAAAAATTTAGTTATGTGACAAATTATTAAAAAAATTTAGTTATTGACAAATTATTGACAAAAAAAACAAAATTCATCGTTTCAAATTTAACAATCTCATGCTTTAGTATAATTTAAAAGATAAGAATAACCTTCGATCATTAAATCGCGCATCAAATATTTAAAATCATAGTATTAGTATAAAAATACAATATAAAGCAATTTATGCTATACTGTAATGTTTTCATAAATTATTTACTCTTTTTAAAATGAAGCATATTAAGAAATACTTTTAAAGGATAGTATTTTGTTGAGCAAAAGATTGTTAAAATATTCTTTTTTTTTTATGTTTTGGCATAACCGTAACTGTTAGAAAAAATATTTTTAAAAAATTCAACAAATAAATCATTCAACAAATCAGTTAAACGATAAATGAACAAAATTTGTTTACAGAAAAAAAACATTTTATTTATTTAAAAAAAAGACATAAGAGCTGAGAGCCGCTCGATTTTTGCGGCTTGGACTCGGCTCCACAAGCCTGCTTTTGGTGTACTTTGTCCAGGCCACATGTGGAGCCCTTTGTAATGGCTTAGGGTATATTAATAGTAATGAGGCAATTGCATGGGCTGTTAAATAGTGTATTAAGTACTATCTGTGCTTTGAGTCGAGTTTAAAAGTCAAATTTAAAATGACTACTCTTTTATGTGTTTTCGTTTAGCACCACTTCACTATATGACTCTTTTTCATCTCAAGACTAAACTCTTTTTGATAGTATTTCTGATCAAATTGACCAAGCCCTCTCTCTTTATACATCAGCCAATACCATTGTTGTTGGTGACTTTGTAGCTCATCACACTTAATGGCTTGGCTCTAGTGTCAGTGACGCTGCAGACATTAATGCCCACAACTTTAGTATTTCTGAATCTCTAATTCAAATAGCCGATTTCAACTTGCTTCCCAGACATTCTGAATCATTCACTTTCTATACTTGACTTATGTCTTGTTTTATATCTTAGTTTAGTGCTCACTTTTTTCACATGCACCCTTAGGTGTTTATGATCGCGATTTGATCTTCTCACGGTGTATCAGGTAACATCTTTAGGATTATAGAATCCTTCCTTACCAAGTGTAGAATTGAAGTTGTCCTTGATGGACACCACTCTTCTTTATATCCTGTCACTTCGAGGTTTCCACAAGGTTCTATACTTGGCCCTATACTCTTTTTAATTTAAATTAATGGTCTTCCAGATATTCTCACATTTAAGGTGGCATTGTTGGCTGATGATACTACCATTTAATCTTGTCTTGATAAGCAGCCAACACCCTCTGAATGATCTTACTTCTGCTACAGGATGGGGCTCACTGTGACTGGT